TCATATTTAGTTCTATATACATACATATTTATGTGTTCATATTGTATCTGCTATTCGATTATAGCAGATACTTTTTCTTGCTCTTTTTTCGCATTCTTTTTTCTCTTCATCATTTTTTTATTTCCTTTCCCTATTACGCTTGTATTATCTTCTTCGGCTTTCTCAGTAAAAGCTTTTACTCATACTTTTCCCGTCCGTCCTCATCTTTACTTCTTCTTTAAATTATGTTCTTGTTTTGTTCTTCTGTTTCTTTCAAATTATTTCCCTTTCTTATTTGTCTTCATTTATATTTCTTAATTTTTCAAATGTTTACATCTATTTCCATTTTCCACTTTCATTTTTTGTTGCCCGTTTTCAGCCTAGCTCTCGAGCTCATCCTCATCCTTTTCGTTTCTCTTGTCCATTTTCTTAAAATCATACTCTTACCCTTCTTCTTCGTCTTCTTTATTCTATTTTTCTTTCTCTTACCCTTCCTCTTCGTCTTCCTCGTTCTATGTTTCTTTTTCTTTCCCTTGCTTTTAATTTTCCCCTTCTATTTTCTATTCCTAAGATAGCACCTTGATTTTTATAGAGTAATATCTCTAGAATAGCCCCTGAGTAAGAGGCACTTAATAGTTTACAATGTTTGTTTGTGTAATTCACTTTTTTTATAGTTTATTGTAGCGATGAAAGATTTTCTTCGAATTGTTCGCCATGCTCTCTCTCTCTCTCTCACACACATGCAAATGTCTATTTGGATTAGTTTTAAGATTTTTAGTGCACTTCGAATCGTTTAACGTTTCCGAACACACGCATTCAGCCAGCAGCCAGCAGAGAGCAACAGATACTCAGGCACTACAAATACTCAGATATTCATAGACTCGACAGAGATACGCCGTTACTTGAGCTCAGATTGAAAATAAGCGAGACCCAGCTGGCTGGCTGGCATCTAATTTTAGCTCAGCTCTCGGTGCAGCTTATAAATTGGACATTGTACGAACATCAATTGGTTTTGTCGCCCATCAAGATGGACCCACAAGATGCTGGTGGAGCCGAATGGGGCAAGGTGGTGCAGGGTGGTAACTAAAAGCATCTCTGATTTTTTTTAGTTTTTTTTTTTTTAGTTTTTCTTACTTAGTTGATGTGTTTTTGTTAGCTTTCATGTTTGGCCGCTCGTCCGCAATATATGTATGAGGCGAGCACACACATACACATACCTCCTTAGCCGCACATAAATGTTAATTAAATAAACAAACAGCTCAGAAAACTATTTGGTCTACAAAAAAGAAAAAAGAGAAAAGCTGACGAACGAACGAGCACTGCGATCCATATGCTTCGAGTTGGGTTCTGTTGCCTTTTTGCTTGTGTTGGGACTCGAGTTTGTTTAGTTAGCAATTTGAAATGTTCACAAAAAAACAAAAAAAAAAAAAAAAAAAAAAAAAAAAAAAAATAGAAGAGAAGAAGAAAGAATTGATATACGCACATGAATTTGGCACAACTTACGGCCTAATGGCCTTCACTCACCTGAGCACTCGCCTTTGCTGCCCCCCTACCCTGGCTCTCTCTCTCTCTCACTCATCCACTCTCTCTCTCTCGAGCACACACCGTCTTTTACTGACTCACCTTTGCAGGTGTTTACAGTGAAGCGGTCAATTTCTGTTTAAATGCTCTTAACTCTTAACCAACGTACGGGAATTATGCAACCGGCAATCGCTGGATAACTCGGACATTGTATTTATGGCCGATAAAAGTTTAATTTAATTATTATACCCATTGCTAATGTATAATGCGGGTATATTAATCATGAACAAATATATGTTATAATATGTTTGCTATACTTATCAATATTTCTATGTGAAAATGAGAAGGTTTACTTATTTCTAATCATCCATTATTATTGAGCAGAATATATAACGAATATAGTACATATTTTTGCTATATGTATATTTATAAAATGTCAGTAAAGGGTATTTCATATTAGGTCATTTAAAAATTTTTCTTGTATATTGTTTACATTTCGGATTCGTTTAGCTTTTATCTGTTCGATAATTTCGCTTTTAATACTTGAAACTTCATTTTCTTCATTGCCAAATTGTAAGAATTTGTAGAAGTGTACCTAGTCTAACTATGGAATAAGAGTTAATGAAATACCCTGAGTATAATTGAGATCAGGAATCGATTTGCTAGTAGAGTAGATATTAAGATCAGATAGATTTGCATACTTAATACAAAGTCGAAGCAAAATATCTAAATGAATTGAGCTTGACTATGGAATACAAATGCAATTAATAAAAGACCTCGTTGTATCTTATCTTGCCTGCACACCCGTCGTATAAACTATACTATACTTTGGTTCCTCTTAAGCTCAGTGTAAACACAGCAGCATTCGCAGCACTCACCTGTTGCTCCGGTAAACGGGGCAAATGGAACGGACTTTGCAGTGCCAGCAAATACAGCGATCGATGATTATTGCGATGATTATTTTGCACACGCGAAGGTGCGAGACAGGGACGGACTGAGGCAGTTAAGGAGCGACGACCGGGCGGACAAACAATTGACACTGTCAGCGTCTTCGACTCTCTGACGCTGACGCTGACTCTAAGTCTGGGGCAGTGTCAGTGTCGCGTTGGTTGCGTTGCGCTGCGCTGCGGTGTGGTGCGTCGCGACGCTTCTCAAGCTCAACTGTTTTTGTCTCAGTTTGGCGGTCTGTCTGGCGCTGGCGAAGATGTTGACGGAGACGGAGACGGAGACGAAGGCAGAGACGTTACCGGCGCTGTGCAGGAAATGCGAGACTTTGAGACACGAGTGCACACATACAAAATCAGACAGACAGGCACACACACACACACACACACTGATACACTGAGCCACATAAAAAAATTGAGAGCGCGCGAAACACGAGCAAAAATGCGAATTCGAAAATGCTTTTGCAGGCCAAACAGTTTGATATGAATAATATACAATTGACAAACACAACAACAAACATTTAACAACAACCATAACAACAGCAAAATATGTACATATGTATGTATAATAACAGCAAGAGCAACTTGTTTAACTGTTGACAATTAGACGGCGTTGGGGCAATTAATGTGTTGGGCTTTCAACTTGAACCGCAGCAAAGACAACACACACACACAGATACGCTCATACACACTTGCACACACACACACATTCGCGTAGTTAGTGAAACATGCGCTGTTTAATTATTTTTAGCTGTTGTTGTCGCTGTTACGACGTTAAGTTCGCAAAGGTCGCGAGCCACAAAACTTGGAAATATTAAGCAAAGAATTGTTGTGAGCACAATTAAATATTTTCATTTACATTTTCATCATACTTTATTTATTATAAGCGCACAAAATACAAATACTATACAAATTTCACTTTCTTCTGCTGTTTTTTGTTTTTTATTATATTTTTATTTAACAATTACCATGAAAAGAAAATGTATTTTCTTTTTCTGTGGCTCGTCGTTGGTGCTTCAACCGACACGCTCTATGTCAGGCTATGTTTGCGTGCGTGTGCGTGTGTGCAACAAGAACAAACGTCGAAAAACGTTGAATTCTGTTGAAGAACTAACCGAATGAGCGGGCTGAGTCGGCGCCCGGTGTTCCAATGGCCCAACTTGAATACTGTGAGAGGCACAGAGAGCACTCGCCCGAGGGTGAGACAGTTTAGTGCGAGAAAGAGAGAGAGAGAGCGCGCTCGACCGGGCGCTACCTTTGCTGTAAATAATCGCTCTCTGTCAGCTATTGCTGTATGTGTGAGTGCTAATGTGCGTGTATCTGTGAGCGATCTGCGTAGCTGATAGCAACAGCCGGTCGACAGAGCAGCAACAGGCGAGCGCACCACTTCACTCATTCCCATCGTTCCCGTCTGCCTGCCAAGTGTCATGTGGTGCTTACGTCGATGCCAAACGGTCATAGGCAACATGTGGCTCAATCTGAATCTGAAGCAGGTCCGAGTCATTCGTTTGTCGCTGTTTATAGTTCACAGAATCAGACATAACTCATTAAATTTGGCATTAAGTCGATTCCAAAAATTAAAAAAATACATACATATGTATGTGTGTATACAAATCTTTGTCTGTTCATAGCTACATGCATATGTACATATACATATGTATATGTATGTATAGCCTGATAAGATACGAGTATGCATAAAATTCGCCAATAAGTTAATTTGCTTATTAACATGCATGCATGTATATATATGTACATATATGTACATATGAATGTATGTGTACATACATATATGCAGATCAGCTAGCTAGTAAGATATACATATACATACATACATATATGTATATGTATAAGAGTTTAAAAATATTACTGTTAATTTATATTTACATACATATGTATGTATATACATAATACATATGCAGTACACAAATTTAGATAAATATAATTAATATTTTTTAAATTAGTCTAATTGTAGTTTCTGATGTAAATCGATAGTTTTGATCGATAATAACACGATTTCGAAGATACATAATTAAATATCGAATACTGTTTGAAGTTAACTGATTTATAATGCTGCAATATGTATATCAATGATATAATATCATACATAAAATGATCATAACACAAAATGAATCCGTTTGCAAAAATGTGAGATTACACTGGGTTTAAACGTGCTGCCAAAGACGGTTTGCATCTTCGCTAAGTGCGAAAAATAGAAGCAGCCTTTTGTGCTGAGCATATACGATCATTTTGGTCTGTTAGAGTTCGTTGGAGCTCAAATCATTCGGATAATTATAGCTACTCTAAGTCAATTTGCTCATTGTTTAGGCTAAGATAGATTGCCAATAAAACAATAAAATAACTTAACTCTATTAATATTAAAATATGAAGCTATTGAACGCTTAATTGCCAATTTACAGCTTAGTTTTGGCGCTGCCAGAGTATTGCGAAGTGCGTTGAGTGGCAGCTTAGGAAAGCAACGGTTAATTTTGTAAATATGGTTGAAGTGTGCGGCTCACGTGTTAAATGTTAATTTAGTGAATGGTGTAAATTGTAAAAACGTCATAAAAGCAAACAAGATGAAGTGGATGATATGTCTGGTGCTGTGTGCAGTATGCAACAGCAACGGCCAAAAATCCAAGGATACCTCAAAATCCGTGCTCACACCCGGGCAGCGTGAGCAGGTGGATAAACTACGCAGTGAATTGAATGCCGCCTTCGAAGCGGGCGAAGGGGTACCGGTATGTAGAAAATCCAGTACTTAGGCTTCGTTTAGACATTTGTGTATTACGTATAGGCCGGCGTCATTGTGCAGCCAGAGTGGACAAAGCAAGGGAGCACTAATGACAAGCCGATCAGCAAGGTTATAGTGAACGAATCCACATTGAAGGAAACGAAGGCGCTGCGGACAGAGATCACTGAAGCGGTCGTCAAGCAAGGGCACACAGAGGACGTACTCCAGCTGGAGGCAGCGATCAAAGCCAAATCAACTGCCCCAGGGAGCGAGCCGATTGTGACCAGCGCCCGCAATGAGATGCTGGGCAGCAGTCAGGAGTCGGCTGCCAATGTGGCCAATGTGGTGGATGCCACACCGTTGGACATTGATTTGGCAAAGCTACACCAACTGGAACTGTCCAAACGCCGTACGCGCGAAATGCTAGTGCTCAGCCGCATTGAGGAGGATCTACAGTTTACGCTCGGATCAGACGTGTCGCATTGGCTGCAGCTGCAGCAAAATGGCAGCCTCTTTCTCCTGGGTCGACGCAGCCAAGATGTGTTACTATTCCAGCAGCTAGCTCTCTCCGAGGGCTCGCAGTTCCGCGGCTATGAGGCACTGCAGCCATTGTCGGTGCCGGCGGGCATTGATGCGATGCTCAGCTATGAGCGTTGGAATTTGCAGGCACAGTTGCAGGAGACCTTGGTGCTGCTGGCCACCCAGCAACAATTGCTCTGGTATCGTCTGGAGGCGGGAATGGGTCTCGCCCAATTTTGGCACTGGCCACTCGGCAGTAGCATTGACAAGCTGCTGCCCTTCGTTGTGGAGAACCGTGAGTACTTGGCCCTGATACAAAATCGCACACTCAGCATTTATGCCTACGATGTGGATGGCATGGAGTTCTGGATTGTGCAGCGAATGCAGCTGGAACAAACGATAAGTGCACTTGCCGTACAGGATACAGGCCGGGACTTGCTGCTCGCTGTGGGGCAGGCCAATGAGGCTCTCATCTATGCCCACAATATGCGCGAGCTATCTCCAGATGCGGGCTTACAGCTGCAGCTGCGACAACGTGTGGATGCACCGAAGATCGCGGACATCGCCGCCTTCCAAATGGGCGGACACAGCTACGTGGCCTTGGGCGGCCTACGACCACAGATACTGGCATATGTGCAGGGCCAGCTGGTGCCGCGGACATTGCTTGGCCAGAACTTTGGCCTGGTCGAGCTATTTCTGCCAGTGCCCGTGCGCACCTATCGGGATGATCTGTTGCTGCTCGTGCAGCATCGTGTGTTCTTCGACACGCACACGCTGATCCAGCTGGAGGTGCTCGTCTGGAACGGCGAGGCCTTTGAGGCCAGCCTGCCGGCGCCCTGCCAATTGGGCACGCATACGCGCTATGGCGCCGGCTGCATGCTGGACGAGATGCGGGATGCGGGCCTGACGGGTTCGGTGCTGTTGCGTCACATACAGCCGCCGTTGTTACTGGTGCCACGACAGGCGGCGCCTTCGGGTCTGTTCCGACTGCACACGGAGCTGCTGCCGCGTAATTCGGAGCTGCACGACCTGCAGGAGATTCACAATTTCATGAAGCAGTGGGTGGATGAGCAGGACAAGCTAATCCAGCTGGCCGAGCAACTGCTGCAAATGGAGCATCATGCAGAGCCAGAGCTAATCCACTACGAGGAGATAAACACGCCGCTGCTTATCAATGAGGGCGCCACGTTGGATGCGCTGCACGTGAATGGAATACCGTGGACAGTGCAAGACTCTGCCGTAGACCTGTATGAGTTGCTGCAAGAGATGCGCTTGTTGCACCACCAAATCATGGGCACAAATGGCGGACGCATGAAGCGTCAGCCACAACTCTTTCGCTACGACTATGAGAAACTGGAATTCGACATTGTTGAAGCTCAGGAGCTGTATATCGATAGGCTGAACCATGTGCCATTCTACGTACAGAATGCCACACTCGAGTTCAACGGTTCGATCAATACGCAGCTCCTGGATCTGATGCGCCCACAGGCCATTGAGCAAGCCGAATCCTTACCCTCAAGCACTCAACAGCGCCTGCAACTGGACGCCGATCTAAGTTTCCAATTCATCAATGGCCTGGAGTGGGCAGAATTTATTCAGCAGTTGGTCTGGCGTCACGAACCGCTGCGGCTCTCGCAGCTGCGGGTGGCAGGCGTAAGTGGATCTCAGCTTGGACATGCCATGATCATTATCCATCATCCTTACGTTTCAGGCTGTTGTCTTTGAGGATTCGCTGCATTTGAGCGCACTCAATGGCCTGAGCTTTCCGGACGACTATCTCTGGTCGCAGGGCAGCACCACTACAATCGTCCACTCGCCGAAGCAGTTTACTCAAACTTTGTGTGGGTTATGCAACTAGCCATCAGCGGACATCCTTTGCTGATTTATGTTTGTCTTGCCTTATTTTAGCTGCGAATATGGTGGACACTGATGGCTCTATCAATGGCCGCGATCCCGCCGATGCAATTACTCTAAGCGATGCACAGGATTGGCCAGGTTTGGTTACCTTCACACAGCTGGAAGTCTCGGAGCAGCTTGAGGTGTTTACAAGCTAACGCACTATGTAACTGTACAATCGATTATATATAATTTCTTTTCCATTTGGCAGCTCAATGGCAGCGCCCAGGGACGCCAGTTTGAGGAGGCCCCTTTGAACTCCATGTTGACCGATTCGCATCGCATTTCCGCCGCCTGTCACTTTGTGGAACTGATTGTCAATGGACCCGTGCATCTACGCGGCTTGCTGGACAACAGCAGCTTTGATGCGCTGCTGGGTGACCTGGTGCAGCGTCCTGCTGATCCCAATGATGAGCTGCTTATAACAGGATCTAAGCACGTACAGCAACTGGCGCTGCCAGTAGATGCGCATGTCTTGGACGGCACACTGAACGGCATACCCATTGAGCAGTTTGTGACCAAGCACACGGAACAAACGCTGCATAATCTGAGCACTCTGGACGGCTATGTGTACTTCCATCAGCTACAGCTCAGTGGCAGCTACGATGGCGTTCACCTGGAGCAGCTGATGGCGCAGGCGTTGCGAGTGGATGCGCCACTTGTGGCGCCAACAACACGACTTCAGTTCACCAGCGAGCCGCCACAATTGACAGAGCTGCACGTGACCCACGCATTGAACCATGTGCCGCTCTCCAGCGGCTATCAAAGATTACACGAGCCACTGTACCTCAGCCAGGCGCGCTTCGAGCGCCTCCAGGCAGAGCAGCTGGATGTGGCGGACAGCGTAGTGGGTGCTGGTCGCCTAAACGGACACAATCTGAGCGAGCTGCTGTCCAAGGAGCCGCGCGTGGACATTGTCCAGGTGCAGGAGCTGATTCTGCCCATGGGCGTGCAGGCAACGCAGCTGCAGGGAATCAATGCTGAGCTACTGTTGGGCTTCCTGCGTCAGCTGGATGAGCTGCCGCTGCTCATTCTTCATGGCCAGCTGCAGGTTGAGCACATTGCGGTTAGTGGAGCTGTGCTCGTCGATGACGCACTGAACGGCCGGAACATGGCGCAGCTGCAGCGCGACGTTGTCTGGCTGGATCGACCCAATAAGCTGGGCACACGCTGGCGCTTCCAGCAGGCACCAATATTTGACAGCGATGTCTTCCTCCAGGGTAGCTACAACGAACGCCTGCTGCCCGAGCTGCTCAACGATATAGTCTTTCGCTCCGATCCGGAGCAGGAGCTGCTCATTGTGGGCACCAAGAGCTTTGCGGGTCCGGTGATTATTCAGGACACGCTCCAGCTGCAGGCACTCAATGGCGTGCCCTTCGACCGGCTGGCCAATAAGCTGCTGCCATTAGAGTTTGATGGCCAGCTGCACCTGGACGGTAACCTTTATGCCGAGCACCTACAGCTCCAGGGAGATCTGAACGGGCAGCCCGTTGACAAGCTGGAAAAGCTGTTGCACTGGGATACACAGCTGGGCGCCTTTGTACATCGCGGACTCATTCGCTTACCTGCGCAAGGACAGCTACAGGAGCTTACGGTTCTGGGTCGTTTCGGCAATCGGAGCTTAGAGCCGTTGCAGGAATTCTTTGCTGATTTAGTATATAAGCGACAGCCGCAATTGTCGATCGAGGGCCACAAAGTATTCACGGGTCGCGTACATATCCAAGGCGGCGCTCACATTGTTGAGCTGAATGGCCTAAAGCTGGAGCAGCTACTGCAGCAGATTGTGTTCATTGATGGCAAGGAGGTCACGCTGCAGTCGCCGGTGCACTTCGAAGCTCCCGTAGAGATGAACGAGCTGCAGCTGGGCCAATTGGTGCTGCAGGGTGAACTCCTCAATGGCTGCAATATCACCGAGTGGATTCATGATACGCTGCGCGTGGATCGCAACTGGCAACCGGACAGTAAATTACATATTTCCAAAAATGATAAAAATGTCGAATTTATTGAATTTTACTTAATTTGCAGCTCCTGTCAAATTTGCTCCGGGCGCATTGGACAACAATGCGCTGCAGGTTGCCCAACTAAATGAAATCAAGCTGGACAGGATAGTTACGCTGCATACGCAGCAAAATCTCAGCTTGCCATTGGTCGCCAAGGAGCTGCATCTGGCTGACGGACACGTGAAGCTCGAGGGGCGTGTGAATGGGCGCAATTTGTCCATGGAATACGCCAATACTCTGCTGGTAAGCTAGTTGACAGATTTTGGACATTTAGCTGTAGCTCTTTGCCTTCTGTTTCAGATCAGCGCACCGCAGCCACAGCGCGTGACCACACCGTTGGTCATAGCGTCCATAGATGTGACCGGTTCATTGTTAGCCAGCGCGCCCATCAACGGAGATCCCAATTTCAATTTGAGTAACGTGGCCACGCTGCACGAGGAGCAGCTGTGCCTTCAAACGCCGCTCAACTTTGCCCAGCTCCATGCGCCGGAGCTGCGCACGGACTTGCAGATCAATGGCTTCAACTTCAGCGCCTGGCACGAGAGGAGCCTGTGGGCGCAGGGTCGAGCCACTCAGGTCATTAGCGGCAACTGGAGCGTACGTTGGCTGCGCGTCAAGCAGCCCCAGGTCGCTGAGCAGACAGCCCATGAAATTTATCGGCGCCAGAGCGAGTGGGCGGAGCGCTATCAGCAGCTGTGCAGGCGTCTGTCTAGGCTGCTCGGTCTGCTCCGGTTGCCCTATCACGTGACGCAGCTGCGTCGCAGCTTTGCGCTGCAGCAGGCCGCAGGTGAAGCGGATATACGACGTGTCTTTGCGCTGCAGTCGGCGCCACAGGGTGCCAGCTATCTGCTGCTCAACGAGGTCGGCTGCTGGACGCGCATCTATCGCTGGAACGGCAAGCAGTATATAAAGTCTGGCAACTTCGAGAGTGGACCCATCGATGATGTGACGGTGCTGCAGCTGCGCAACGCCAGCAGTGCCAATGGCAATGACCAGTTCAGTTTCATGACCAGCTACGAGACGAGCGAGGAGCAGCTGGAGCGCAGCTGGAACTGCAGCAGCCTGGCAAACCTGCAAAGCTGGCGCACCAGCGCCGAGATCGAGATCGAGCCGATGGGTGTGCCAGCTAGCAAGCTGCAGCAACTGCTGCAGAAGCATGAGGCACAGCAGCGACGGCGTGGACCCAGCTATCAGGACGCCATTAAATATCTGAACCGGCCCACAACTGAGTCACATTTGCGGCCACATCTGGACGCGATTCATGCGCTCAGCCAGGAGCAGTACGAGACGCTGCGACAGCGCCTGCTGCAGCATCTTAGCTTTCGCCTGCAAACCGAGGTGAATATCACACAGCTGAGCATACCCGAGAGCGATCTCTACGACGACGAGCATCTCGTGGAGGACTTCTTAGGCTTGATGCGACAACTGCGGCTCGCTTCCAGGTCTGGCAGCGAAGCATTTGCTGCCCTGCCCACCGACTCGCTGCCGTTGCCAAATACTCCGGGTCGCGTCTTAGCCGCTCGCACTGCGCAACTGATTTGGTCCGCGGTGGAGGAGCTGAATGCGCTACGTTCTCGACTGGCCAGCAACGATAGCCAGCTGGTTCAGGAGCAGCATTCGCTGGGCCTCCACCTGTCGAGCGCTATACGAGATGTGCTGCTGCTGGCCAACGTTGGCAGCCATGAGCAGACGGACGACGGAGACGAGGATACGAGGCGACTGCATGCGGTGATTGGACGCCTGCGTGAGCTGCAACACCAGATACAGGAAGCCCAGCAGTTGGACCTGGACACAGCTGAGACGAGCAACATGATGGCTATGCAGCCACATCCGCATCAGCAGTGGCGACCAGTGGAAACGATACGCTTGCACGTGGGTCCGGCGCAGCACGCCCGGCTGCTGTATGCCCGGCTCACCACAGCCGCCGCAGATGCGCCACCTATAGCCCCATCCACAGCGCCGGGCGCCCACGTCCAGCTGCACTTCGCCAATGGCACCATATTCCAGTCATTGGCGGCCGATTTGATGGCGCGGCAGCTAACAGCTCTGCGGGTGCGCGACGAGACGCTGCTGGCCTTTGTCGAGGGCTGTTGCCTCGTCCGAGTCTTCATTTATCGCGGCATTCAAGGCTTCGTGCCCTTCACGCAGTTCCACGCCGAAGCGGATGAGCAGACGGAGCAGCCGGGCATTCAGCAGCTGCTGGCGCTGCGTCTGCCTCTAAGCCGTTCACCGGGCGCGCTCTATTTGCTGGCCGTGGCTCAGGCACGGCGGGTTACCTTCTATGAGCTGGTCATGCCCGGATTCTTCGAGCCGTGGCTGCATTGCAATTAAAACACTTCTTGTTTTGGATACGTCATTTTTATTGTTATTGTTATTTTTATTATATAAGATATATTTGTATGTACTACATATGTAATAGTCATGCCCGGTTAGTTCAGGTTAAGTCAGTGTACGTCACATTATGTTGCATTTACGAAGAAGAAATATATATCTATGATTGAGTCCCATACACAATACGAAAAAAAAAGTAAAGTACCAGAATTTAGATTTCCGATTTACAGGAAGACAGATGACTATAGACCCTGACTAGCTACTAAACTATCCAAACTACTCTATCAAACTAACTAAACTAAACTAACTGTCTAAACATTTTTTTTTTTTATTTTGTAGGTTTTTGTTGTCTCCTGGAAACCTGCGCATAGGGAACGGGATTAGTTAGTGGCAAACCAAGCGACAAATGTTGACATACGAGATCGTTAGCCAGATTATTTTCTTGCTGTAGTAGGCCGGGCTGCCCTGCGGTTGGTCTTTCGGGTGCTGCGTGCCTTCAACCTTGGGATTCGCAAACTATTGCCTAGTATATGAATAGGTACCCTTCTTCCCCTTGGTTTGGAATTGATTGCCTTGCGCGGTTTGTTGGTGGGCTTCAACGACTTGGTGCTAGTTTTAGTCGGCTTTGGTTTTGGCTTCGGCTTTGTCCTAATCGTTTTCTTACCAACTGACTTGCGGCGCTTTACTCTCTTTTTGGGTGTAAGAGCCGGGTTCTGAAAATTCTGGCAAACGGTCGTCGTTGCCATCATCAGGATTAGGAAACATTTGGTCACCCATTTTGTTCACTCAATACTCACCAGGAATTGGGTCTTCTGCCAAGGAGACATAGCTTCCCAAGTCATAGTAGCATATTGCCCAACATCACGTTCGTCTATATAGGAATGGACGTTCTTGAATTTCTCCAAGAATAATTGATATCCACGATCGGGCTTCTTTACAGCTCTAAACTTCGAACGTATGGAGCCCATTTTGAAAAGAATATTCGTTTTTCTGTATATATATATAAATTTTTGTTTTCTGTATATATATATATATATATATTTCAATGAAAAACAAAAAATTCAAAAAGCTGTAATTTTTTTCCGAAACCTTTACTCTCGGACCTAAAGAAATGTAATGAATGTTCTGAGCTAGCTCCCCAGGTACATAGCCCGGAGCTCGACTATTACGGCATGGCATACTTTGATATATAGTTTTTGCGTTGGATTTCATTTTTGTCGATTTGAGGCAGTTGCTTGGACGTAGTAGCCTTTGTCGTAGTAGCCTTGTGCAACGGGGGCAGCTCTAGTCGAGACTACTTGACTAAGATATACCATGGCTAATCGATTTTTTGAAGAAATCGAATGTCTCGCACTACGTATGGATACCACATATTGTATACCATATGCGCTCATATGGGCGGATATATATTGTCTCCATTGAAAGAGGGTTTTAAATGTCCCCCGCTTCCCGGACTGAATTAGCTATTGTCATTTCATTAGTGCTGTCGAATCGTCTTTACATGGTATAGAGAACAGATAAGTCTTATTTTCCGAATAGACAATTTATTAGTGCAGCACAATATGAATTTGGTATAAACGTAAGAATTTGGTATAAACGTAAAAATTTGGTATAAACGTATAAATTTGGCTTATCATATGCCCAGTATTAGGATCAGTTACAGGTGACTCATGTACCACTGTAGCTAGTTGGGCAATATGTCTATATTGTTGATGTTGGGCTATCGCTTGGCAGCAGACTTCTTCTTTGGGCGACGTTTGGGCGCTGGAGCTGGCGCTGGAGCTGGAGCTGGAGCTGGCGCTGGAGCTGGCTCTAGCAAGAAGTCAAATTTCTGATTTTGTTGATCAATTTTCCTTCGTTTTGCAAGGTCCTCATCCGGGAATATTATAGATGCTGGTTTGGTCACACTCTCGCAGCTGGAAAACGAAATGATGCTAACACTTGATGATACCCGAGTTAGATCGATGACCTCCTGCATATATTCCCCATGAGTGCGATGGAAGAAGAAACTGTTGCAGTGTACTAACAGCCCAGCGTTGATGGACGTGACCAAAATCTTATTGACCTGCGACTTCACCGACTCCAATTCCGAGTCCGACTTACAAAAGTGCTCGATGACGCCCTTGTACGACACGGGCTCCACCTGCTTCCGCATGAACGTCATGACATCCTCATCGGTGATTTCGATGGGGACATTCTTCTGCGGCTTGGAGCTCATTTTGAGATATAAAAAAACTAAACAAAAAATATCAAAAAGCAAAATATACTCGCGTAGAAATGGATAACAAAAAAAAAAAAATAATACTAATACAAAGAAAAACTGTATTTTCGATACGAGGCTTTAGTTTGTTTTGAACTGTATGAGTTTTACGACTGAATGAGTGAAATGTCGTTAGTGCCTGCCAGATGTTAAGTTTCAGTGACAGTTGGTTCGGTGCCAACTTGGATATCGAAATATAGTTTATCTTCGCATAAAATTACAATCCAAGGAACTTTTGGGCTTTTACTCATACGCCATTTTCCAATAAAATATTGTATATTTATATTTGAATCTGTGAATTTTGTAAAAAATATTCACAACTTTACAATTTCATTCAACTCCTTTTTTCAGCATTGAGTAGTTTAGGGATAAGTAAGCTCTTGTCGGGGTTATCTGACCCAGAGGACCGTCTGATCTGCGTTTTTACATATACTCCATACTTGACACACTAGATTTATAGAACCCAGCTAAAAAAAAATGGACAAGATATGATTGAGAAACTAAAGCTGGAGACCTCTGTTAATCGATATCATTAAAAGAGTAAAATATATCACTTATTTGAAATAAACTCAATCCACGGATGCTACAAAGGGATTTACAGCAAAAAATTCAAATCTTATAGATTTCGAGCTCGAATGGGCAGAGAGTGTAGGAAAAAATCCTCGCGCACTTTTCGGTTCAGACAAGGATATTGCTTAGACAGCTCATAATCGAATTTCATTGGGCTTTATTTATTACACATCATTATTAAACTAGAATATTTAGTACAGTAATTGAGCTTATTTATTAGCTTTCGATTCCAACTCTCCTGCTCGGTTTCTCTTCTTCTTTTCCATTTGTTATTGACTCTTAGAACTTAGGCTTAGGCCCCAACTTATGACTACGACCCGCAGCGAGGTCTTTAGGCGGCGGAGGATAAAAAAAAAATAATAATAATAAAGAAAAATCCAGTGACTAAAATAAATACAACGCGCACACACATAATTACGATAGAGATAGGGTTTATGTTAATGGTTAACGGTACAGTTAAGAGCTATATACACTGCCAGCTGATTGGCACCGCCCCAGAGTTTCCTAGACCGCCAGGAAGTCACGGGGATCGCCAATTTTGGGACTGAGACGCACCACCACCTGATCATCGCCGTCGCCGACCTCAAGGAACGAATTCCAATCGGCTAGGAAATAGAAGCCATTCTTCTTTTTGGGCGGTGGCGGCTCCTCGGCGACAGGATCGGGCCCAAACGAATTGGCCAGATCGTCCAGCGAGCCGTTGCGTGACTCCTCCGTGGTCGAGGAGCTGCTCGACTCGGTGGTGCTGCTTGTGCTAATGTCTCCATCGCTGCTCGACTGCGAGGCGGTGTCCTCATCACCCAGACCCAGGCCCAGGCCCAGATCCAGGCTAATGCGAGTGGGCGATTGTGTTGTCACCGAATCATCCGAATCAGCCAGAGTTGAGCTGGTGGTGCTCGCTGTGGTAGTGGTGGTGGTGGTGCTGTTGTCCTCGCTCTGTCTGCGCGGCTTGAAGGTATCGATGCCCGGTGGCAACGACTGCAGATAGTTGGCGTCGGCCTGCGACTGCGCCTGACTGGCCAGCGACGCAGCTAGCTTCGTCTGGCCCAGGCTCACGTTGAGCTGCTGCAGCTGCTGCAGGTTGCTGATGAGCCGCTGCAGCTCGCCCAGATTGTCGCCCAGCGCCACTTGCTCACGGGCCTCCGGCTGCGACTCTTCTGGCTTGGCCAGCTGATAGTTGAGCTCACTGAACTCGGCCATCAGATCGCCATCGAGCACGCCAGCCTGGTCATCCTCGGCGGCCACGTCCATGTCATCGTCGCTGCGTCGCCGGAAGCCGGAAGCGCCCGCAGCCAGGCCCATTGGCAGCTCCGTGGAGACGCCAATGCGATTGGCCGCCCGCTTGATGGCCGCCTCGATAATCTTCGTCGCGCTGAACACGGGCAGCTCCACGCTGCTCTCGGTGGTGGGATGGGGCCGTGGTGGGCGTGGCGAGGCCGGCTTGCTGGTGGTCAGCGAGAACACCGCCGGCGAGGAGGAGTCGTGCGTGGGTGTTGGCGATGCGGGCGGCGAGGGCGTGGTTGTGGTTGATGTTGACGTTGTGGTGCTAGTGCTGGTGCTGGTGCTGGTGGTTGTGCTGCCAGAGGTGGTGCTGGGCTGGAACTGACTCTCCAGCTGCTGGGACAGCTCGTTGGGCAGTGCCACGCCCAGTTTCTGCAGCTGCTGCGTATTGTAGAGCAACTTCTGTAGCTCTGCCAAGTCGGCTTGCTTTGGCGTCGGCTTGGTCGTTGGCGGTGCTGCGGGTGGTGCGGCTGGTGCGGGTGGTGCTGCGGCTTGGGTCACCGGAGCCGGTGTCACCGTCTTGTAGATGGGCTGCATATTCTGATAGCTCTGACGCTCGCCATTGTCCTCCAGGCTGCTAAAGAACTGCTGGAACTGCCTGAAGTCCTGATCCTGGCTCTGATCCCGATTCAGATTCTTGTTCCGGTTCTGGTTCAGGTTCTGGCTCATTTGCGGATGGGCCGGCTGGGACATGGCGAACTCACGCAGCTCCTCACTGGAGCTGAGCTCCGCCTGTGCAGCATTTGGCATTGGAGTTGTGCCCGGCTGCTTGTACACCGGCAGCTCCAGCTTGAGATTCAGCTCGGGATTGGGATCGGGCATCGCCGCCGGCTGCGCGTAGACAATCTGTGCGCCGTGCAGGCTCTTCACGTTCTGGGTACGCACGGAGGCGGCTGTGACCAGCTGATGGCCGGTGGTTGGGCGCGCCTCCTGCAGCTGC